CCCCCTCCCCTGCGATGAATCGGAGGAGGAAAAGGTACCCATACCTCTACCCTTGGCCCTTTTTCCCCATTTGGTGCCTCCTGGGAGGCCCTCGTCGCCACCGTTGGATTCGCCTCGAAATTCCGGCCAGAACGCATCCTGGGAGAGGCCCAGGGAGTAGCGGTATCGGTACCTTTTGGTTTCCCCATTGAGGAGGAGGAGGAGGAGAAGGAGGATGAGGAGCAGGAGGAGGAGGAGGATCAAGAGGAGGAGGCGGAGGAGGAGGAGGCGGAGGAGGAGGAGGAGAAGGAGGAGGATAATAAGAAGAAGACGAATACGAATAATAATAACATTAATAAGCATAACACGAAGACTAAGAAGAATAAGACGACTAATGATAACAATAATAATAAGAAACACGAATAAGAAGAACAATACTACTACTCATAGTAAGCATACTAATAATAATCATATACATTCGAAGAGTACTAATATGAATATGTCTTATAACAATGATAGTGCTAATAACAATACTAATACTACTATTACTATTAGTAATAATACGACTAGCAATAATAATCCTAATATTACTGGTGGTTAGCATATTGGTAATAAAAAATAATAACAAGAATAATAGTAATACAATGAACAATAATAATAAATTAATAATCAGAAGAAGAGGAGGAGGAGGAGGAGGAGGAGGAGGGGCAAGAGGAGGAGGCGGAGGAGGAGGAGGACGAGGAGGAGGGGGAGGGGGAGGGGGAGGGGGAGGAGGAGGAGGAGGAGGAGGAGGGAGGAGACGACGACGACGAGGAGAAGTGGGAGGGGGAGGAGGAGGGCCCCTTCCTCTCGTGGCCGAGGTGCGAGGGCAGCCGGCTGGGTCGCCACGCGGCGTGCCACCGCATCGTGCGCGCCCTCTCGCCCGTGCTTGTTGCTGTCCTGTCCCTTGGGCTCCTCGGGAGCCCCTCCTTTTCCTCCTCCTCCTCCTCCTCCTCCCTCCTCCTCCTCCTCCTCTCCTTCCTCCTCCTCCTCCTCCTCCTCCTCCCTCCTCCTCCCCTCCTTCCTCCCTCCTCCCTCCTCCCTCCTCCTGCTCCCTCCTCCATCCTCCCTCCTCCTCCGCCGCCTCCTCCTCCTCCTCCTCCTCCTCCTCCTCCTCCTCCTCCTCCTCCTCTTCCTCCTCCTCCTGCAAGCAAGAGCTCCCCGGGGCCTCCGTGGCTCCATGCCGGGGGCCTCCGCGCAGCTTCCAGGGCCTCCGGCCCTGGGAGTCCGCGGCGGCCTACAGAGAGGGCTCCCCAGGGGCAGGCGGCGCGGGAGGGGCGCGAGGGACCGCAAGCCAGCGGCGGAGCAGGAGAGGCTGGGCTGCACGGGCTTGGGGTGTGCGGTCCTGCTGGCGGGACCGCACACCCCGTGGCCCTCGAGGGATTACAGGAGCTCCCAAGGGGGCTCGGCGTCGCTCGGACGTGTGCATGCTCTCTCCTTGGCGAGGACCATCGAGGAGCATCTTGGGTCATTTTGCGACCAACGGAAAACACATACGGAACCGTACGTGCACGGGGAATGGACGTCCGAGCGATGGCGAGGGGGCTTCCCGGGGGGGGGCCAATCTCTTCCTGCATGGGATCCTGGGGGGGGGGGCCGCGTCTCCCTGGCGCTCTTCGGACGTCTCCAGAGGGCTCCAGAGGTCAACAAAGAGCGGATCTGTACAAGTGCACGCCGGTCGTTGAAAATATGCATATTCGGATTCCCAGAACCCAATATACTTCAAGCGCTTTCCTATCACAATAATTGATCTGCTTATGCCGTGTTTTGAAATTCTCTTGGAGGGCCTGAACCCAATATACTTCAGCCGCCTTCCTACTTCATGCTCTTACCGATTTCTTCCGACCGAAATGTACAAAGCACCGACGGCAAAGTTAGGCCCAGATCCTCGATCCGCGCGGGGTGCCTGCAGAAGGCCTTGGGGTGGCCACATCTAGGAGGAGGAGGAGGCGGAGGAGGAGGAGGAAAAAGGATGAGGAGGAGTTGCAGGAAGAGGCGGAGGAGGAGGAAGAGGAGGAGGAGGAGGAGGAGCAGCAGCAGGAAAAGGAGGAGGCGGAGGAGGAGGAGGAGGAAGAGGAAGAGGATGAGGAGGAGGAGGAGGAGGAGGAGGAGGAGGAGAAGGAGGAGGAGCAGGAGGAGCAGGAGAAGGATGATGATGATGATGCTGATGATGCTGCTGATGATGATGATGCTGATGCTGAGTACGATGATGATGATGATGATGATGATGATGATGATGATGGTGATGATGGTGATGATGGTGATGATGATGATAATGCTGATGATGATGATGATGATGATGAGGACGAAGAGGAGGAGGAGGAGGAGGAGGAGGAGGGGCAGGAGAAGGATGATGATGATGATATGCTGATGATGATGCTGATGATGAATGATTGATGATGATGATGATGATGATGATGATGCTGATGATGATGCTGATGCTGATCATGATGATGCTGATGCTGATGCTGATGATGAGGAG